CGACCTCGGTGGGTCCACGCTGCGCGGAAAGGAAACACGGCGGGGAGTCCGGGAAGGGGTCCGAGGGGAGGGGGGGCAGGGATGCTTCGAGGTTCGAGGGTCGATCTCTTTTGCTTTGGTAATATGTGGTGTCTCGGGAGAACACATCTGTTGAGACCTCCTGAGACCTCCCAGGACTTCTGGAGACCTCCTGGGGGGGACGATTGGGGGATGGAAAATGGGGGAGAGGGTAGAGAACGCCATGGACCAGGGATCTTGAGTTTGCAGTTTTAGGCCAGGACCGTCACACAACGATTCCAGGCGGAAGGTCGGTTCAGGGAAGCCCCGGGGTGTCGAGGACCCATGTGTCTGAGGACCCCCTATCGGACCCATGGAAACAGTAACCGATGAGGCGAGCCGCCTTCGTCGACGATTGTCGTCATATCCTGCGTCGTCTCCAGATCTCCCAAATGGGACCGAAGTCGATGGTGTCGGAGGATCGCGCCGCATCGCCAATATATTGGCGATCTGGAGCTCGATTTTCTCATTCGTGATGTCGCCTGTGCCTCGGCAACGACAAGAGGTCGCTTCTGCACTTGTGCGTTCTGTGTTATCTCGAGGGCTCCGGCCTGTACTTGACAACAACATGAAAAGCTTGCAACTCCTCTGCAATGGTGAAGTTCAACTTCGCCATCGCACTTTCCAACATCGCCCCCCCTCCTCTCTCTGCCCTCCTCCTTCCTCTCCAGATGCCGTGTCCCTCTTCCTCCCTCCTGCCTCCCCGCCGTCTCTTCTCCCTCCCCCCCTTCCCAACTACAATCACACAATCTTAATACTGCGTACCCCCTCTCCCTGCTGGTCTCTTTATAACTGCGCCCGCCTGTCCCGAAGATTGTTATTGATGCCCTGGAATCTCCCGAGCTCGCGGCATTGCAAACGTTCGCGGCAGTCCAAACGTGACACCCCGCTACATGACATGATCTGCAGCTGGCCTCCAGAGTGCCCCATGGAATGATCTATCCGCGCAGCCTCCGTCCAGCGGGACGACGCTCTCGCCGCCACGCTGGCCGCACGATGACATCGGGAAAAGTGGATCACTCAGAAGTCGTGTTTGCCTTGCAGCGAGATTATACTTCTTCCATGTGAATGCCCCCGCGCGGATTTACCGTTGCGTTTTACGCATCAGCGTGCACTCGCGCTTTCCACGGTAACATCTTTGCACCTTCCATTGCAGGACCTTCGTGTCTCCAGGGCGCTTCCCGGCGTGGACGTACCTCTTCGCTTTCCGTACGAACAGTTTGGCTTCCACATGAACGTGTCTGTTTCTTCCATGTGGGAATGGCAAGGACAGCTTCAGGTATGGCCATGGGTGGCGTGTTGGTTTCGCCCGCTAGTGACGTTTTTTCGTTGTAGTTTTGGCCACGTTTCAGGGCTCCATTGGAGCGTGTTCCCACCGCAGCGTTGGCCGTGCGCTCTTGCCGTAATCTTGGCCGTTTGCTTACTGTGCCAGCGAAAATGTATGTATTACTGTGTTTCGCTCAGTTTGTTATGGGAGGAAATTGTGGACGGCGCCACCGCCAACTTATACAATCGAAAAGTAGGTCTTCGTTGATGAGAGAGTGTTATACCAGCCCCTTGCCAAATCCTGATATCGAAAACCGAGTGCACTGGCGGCTATGTTTCCGCCATCGCCGCCCCGTCGCCGACTCGTCGCCGCCCGTCGTCTGAGCCCGCCTGGCGTTGTGGTGTCTATGTTGCAGCCGTCGCCGCCCCGTCGCCGCCTCGTCGCCGCCCCTCGTCTGGGCATGTCTGGCGGTCAGGCGGCTATTGTGCCGCCGTCGCCGCCCCGTCGCCGCTTCGCTGCCGCCACATAGGTTGCCACATACATTACACAATACACCCCCTCTGGGGATTATCCACCCGCCTGTTGGTATTGCAATATACACGGTGTTGCCCCATTGTCCACCCTAAGTGTGAGTTTATACCATCCCAGCCCGCACATTATTGACCCCCTCGCGCCACCCTTTGCAGACCATACTATGCGCGCACATTCGTTTGTCAAAAACATCAGTTTCCGAACCTCCTTGCAAACACTGGGACGAAGTGGACACGCGCGCGTCGTCGCATGCCGAATCCTTCGAAAGCGTTGGGCCCCGCGCGGAATTCAAAAACGAGCACCCGAAACCATATGAACACACATGGTTTGCCAGATCACTTTTTACATTAGTATGCGCGCGCCTTGCTAGCTGTTGAGAAATCATGGGTTGTTCAACATCTGCACCCAATTCGACCAAGCGGGCTTCTCGACCGCACATGTCGAAATCAGTCGAACGCCCTTGCGCGCGCGCTGGGGTGGGCACTATCCCGTTCAAATAATGCCATGCGGGCCACTCGCGCGCGTCGGCCGCGCGCGCATGGCGAAATCCTTCCACCACATGCATCACCGACGCGATGACACCATCATCGTCATTGGCGTGATCAGCGTTGACGCCGTCATTGGCCTTGCTGTCGCCACCGTTCCCATCGTACCCATCATCGCTACGATCAGATTCGTGTCTACCGTTGCCGACGTCGGCTTGATACCGCATCCGCCCAAGTCCCCGACCCGCACTGCAGTGCCCGCGCGTCAGTGTTGCTTGTGAGACGCGCTGGGGAGTGCCCAGCGGTCAGCGCCAGCGCTGTTGCGTCGGTCGCGCCGAACTAGTTGGCCTTTGCGCGCGCGAGCATGCGCGGGGTAGAGCGGCCGCAAAAACGCACCAGCGAATTCCAAACACTCATCGCAATCGCCGCCGCATGGGTATTGCAAACCAAGTTGCGGGCAGCTTTCTAGGATGATTGCGCGATCAGCGAAGCAGGCAATTCAGTGCGAACAGAAGTTATTTCTCCTCTCCCGAACGAAGTTCGATTCTACCCCCCCGCCCCCGGGTTATCAGCTCGGCCCCGCGTATTGCAATTCACATATGGATCTACCACATCGCCCATCCGAAGTATGAGCTCTTCCCATTCCAGCCAAAGCCGGTATCCCCCCTCCCCAGCCATCTTCGACAAACAAGATTTACGCGCGCACATTCGTTATTCGAAAACCATCAGTTGTCATGAATCCTTCAGAACAAATGGGACGCAGTGCGCAGAGTTTCGCAACACGGAGTGCCCAATCAAGATTGTTTGCACGTTCTTGCGAAATTACCATCGGTGTTTCATTGTTTTCTGACAGTGCTACCAAACGGGCTTCGAGCGCGCATGACGAAATCATTATGACGCCTTTGCGCGCGTGCCGTCGCGAGAATATGTTACAAACAATTGGACGAAGTGCGCGCGCGCATCGTCGCGCGCGCATGCCGAAATCAGCCGGAAACTTGCCGTTCGTAGCGATGTCCAAACCCATTGTCCAAAACACCTATGCAAACACATGGGTTTGCAACCTCAGTTTCCAAAAAAGCGTGCGCTCGCGCCTCTGCGAATTTATAAAACAAAAAAACGCATGTTCAATCTGTACATGGAGTTTTGCGAAACGGGCCTCTGGCGCCGCATGCCGAAACCATTCGCACGCCACTGCGCGCGTGAAAGGGGGGCACGATCGGTGTCAGAGAGTACCATGCGGGCCACTCGCGCGCCGGCCGCGCGCGCGTGTCGAACTCGTTCCAAAACCTT